GCAAAGAGTGGGGTCCGCAGTCTGGGGATTCATCTGGACCCGGCGCTCACCATGGAGACTCAGGTGGTGTCGGTGGTCCGCACCGCCTTTTTCCATCTTTGGTGGATAGCCCGGCTGTGACCCTATCTCGATGTGGGGGTGCTCACTACCTTGGTGCGCTCTACGTGGGGCTACTTTTGAAGTTGACGTGGAAACTCCAAGTGGTGCAGAATGCGGCGGCCAGAGTCCTTAGCAGAGCGAGAAAACACCACCACATTTCTCCTATTTTGGCCGCGCTGCATTGGCTGCACATTCAGTTCCGCATTGACTTCAAAGTCTTGGTGCTTATGTATAAAGCCCTAAATGGTTTAGGGCCTCGATACTTGGTGGAACGCTTACTCCCACCTAATTCTACCCGTGTCTCTCATGCGAGTCAGGAGGTGAGGCTGAAGAGCTTGATGCCGAGGGAGGCCTGGAAGGAAAAAACAAGAAACCAGGCCTTCTCAGCAGTGGCTCCTCGCCTCTGGAACAATCTGCCTCCGGAGATTTGCGTGGCTCCCTCGCTGGGTATTTTTAAAAACCAACTAAAAACGTGGATGTTTAGGCAGGCCTCCCCTCCCAGTTAATTCCTGACCTTCTCCCTTTCTTTCTCTATTATGATTTATTTTGTTTGCTCTCCATCTTGTAGAATTCTTTGTGTAAAAATTCCTTTTTTTAATTGTTCTTGTATTTTGTGTTGTAAGTCGCCTAGAGTGGTCGCAATGGAATGAATGGTATAAATGGAATGAATGAATGAATGAATGAAATAAAATGTTTACATAGCAAAGAGCAGCCTGAATGTTGACAACACCAATGTCAGCAGTCGAGATGGTCTATGGATACCCTCTTGTGCTTAGTACCATTCACAAAGTTATACCACACAAAGGAAAATCCCAGAAATTGACTCCTTTTTTCATCAACTACTTCTCACACAAACATAAAGCAATAGTCAAGGCTGTTTTTCAGCGTGTGAATGGTGGTGAGCACAAGAGTGTATCCAGTAGACCATGTTGACTGCTGCCATTGGTGTTGTCAACATTCAGGCTGTCTTTTGCTATATAAAGCTATGTAAAGCAGCACACTTTTGGACTTGTAAGCAACTTGTGGAAAAAAGTGTGTGTGTGTTAGTTACCCCATTCCTGAATTTTGAAGTAAGACATCCTGTTTGCTTTGTCTATAACAATCACTGATAAGCGTTCACTTTCAACTGAAAAAGGGGTGCTATAGCAAAGCATTGAAATTTTGGTTTAATTTTATATTCTTCATATTAAAAAGCTGAGTTGTTTTGTCACAAACTCACTTCCTATTGGGAAGCATCTAAATCCTTCTGGGAACTTATTAAGCAAGTGATCAACTTGCCTGACGTGACCACATCTAACTATTTCACTTAAACTTTATGAAGAAGGAAACAGAAAGAAATGGAAAGTGTGTCTGTGGGTGGGTGCAGACAAAATCTTCTCCAGAAATGATGCAAATACAGTGGGTTTAGCTGGTATCCTGGTTTGAAGAGAACATGGTCTCTGAGACAGAACAGCTGTAGACAAGAAAGAACTGTATAGCATTCAAAGGCTGTTCCCTCACTGAAGCCAGGAATAATATTCTAACTATTCTTCGTAGAGACAGAAGGATATTTGGAAAAGAAATTTCAGTAAGATTTTGGCAATAATTAGCTGCTGTTGTTGACTAGTAACCTGTATCCTGAGTATACCAGTAGCATTGGAGACAGGACCCAGGAAAGACCGACCAGGTAATTATGGAGATCAGCAGTAACTGAATTATGTCTTCAGGTAACTGATAATTACTGCACTAAGGAAAATCTTGATTAGGTTTCTTATCTTCTCCAAGGTTTTCTTCCCTCAATGTTTTTTCGTTGCATTTAATTTCCAGCCTCTCTCTGTCTGTTGTAGAAACAATAAGGGCCAAAATCCTGTTGTGAATACCACATGCATGAGGGTAATTTTGTATCAGGTGGGTTTTTAATTTATTAAAATTTTTTACTTTCACTAGTCCAAGGATGTCAGGGACAGTTGGCACAGTTGTGGGCACTGCTTGTGCAATTGCTGTTTCAACAATTCTGAGAGGATTCTGGCCAAACAGCCTTTCTTTGACTCTTGAAGGAGAACCTTATTTTATAGCCCTCTTCCTCCAATGCATCCTGAATTTCAGTATGCTGAAGTTCATGACAGCTTATTCTGAATAAAACCTTTTAGTCCCACAAGATTCTTTGCTGTTTTTACTGAAAGATTTTCTTAATGCTTCTGAAGGGTTTATTTTAAAAAATGTC